AAAAGAAGGAAGGAAGGAAGGAAGGAAGGGAGGGAAAGAAAGAAAAAAAGAAAGAAAATGGAAGGAAGGAAGGAAGGAAGGAAGGAAGGAAGGGAAAGAAAAGGAGGGAAAGAAAAGAAAAAGAGGGAAAGATGGCAAAGAGATGGAGGGAGAGAGGCTCTCCCACCACCACCCATCAAGCCCCCGCCACCCCCGCGGATCCCTTATTTACTGCTTCGGTGGGGGCCAGGGAAGCCGGCGGTGGGGCTTCCCGGGCATTCCCCTCCGGCCCCAGCGCTTCTGTGCGGGCCTGGGGGACCCGGCAGCGAGGCTCTCCTGGCACCCCCCCGGCCGCAGCGCTTCTGCGTGGGCTCAGAGGACCTGGTGGCAGGGCTCTCCGGGCATCCCCCCCGGCCCCAGTGCTTCTGCGTGGGCCCAGGGAACCGAGCAGCGGGGCTCTCCGGGTGTCTCTCGAGCCGCAGCACTTCTGTATGGGCCCAGGGACCCGGCAGCAGGGCTCTCCGGGCATCCCCCGAGCCACAGCGCTTCTGCGCCCCGGGGCACTCTGACCCCCAAAGACCCCTGGTAACAACAGGTACCATGTTGGGGATCACTGGGTTAGATGCAGCCCTCAAACACTACCTTGCCTTTGAAAGCCACATTATTTTTCAAGTTGTAAGATTTCACAGGTTAATCTAATATCTCTCTCCTTGTTTATATACACTATATGTAAATGCACATATTTGTGTGTGATGTGCAATGCTTCATAACTTTGCACCGCTTCCTGCTCGATCGTGCAAATTTATACTGCAGCATGTCACTCCCAGAATCTGGGACACGTTTAAGAAAAAAAGAATGCACCTTAATAAGACATGCATTTAATAAGTTAGCCACCCAGTTTTATCAATACAAGAAAAGAAAAACTTTCATTTTTTCATATGTAAAGCAAACAACACTATCCCACTGGGAGAAAAATGCCAGAGAGATTACCAGGGATGTTTCCCAACATCTAGGCAAGAATATTTAAGGAGAGAAATACAAATCTAGAGAAAAGCCATGGGGACATACTGTGTGTCTCTATGCGATTAATCAGTGACTATTATTACAGAAACTTTGTGGTACTGCAAACACAATCTTCCTTTTGTGGGAGCAAATTCAACAAGCCCAGAATCCCTTGAAGATCTGATTCTTTTAAACTGTATTCAGCATGTTCCCTGCTATCCCAAGTGAGCTTTTACACAAGGGCCCAAGAGGATAACATTGCATTTACAAATGGCTGTTACAAACATGGCAGGCTTTCAATATTTTTTTTTACCACTCCTGTTCGTTTATGATATTGCAAAATGCATAATTACTCTCATTAGAGGAAATAAAACAGATGCACAGATGAAAATATGACATCTCTGAAAAATACAGCATGATTTACCAAAGGTCTATACTGAAATAAAACTGTGAATTGTTTGTTCCTTCAGATTCTGGGGGCAAGGGGGTACAAACAAGTATTTTACAGTGCAAGCCTATGCAGTGTTATTCTAGCCTAAATTCAATTAAATCAGTGGTTTAGAATGGATTAACTCTAAATCGTACTTATTAATTAATTAGGGATATTTCTGTGCTACCTCGTCAGAATCCTGAAGATGTGGCTTACAATTAAACAATGTAACAACATAAAAACAAGCCATTAGAAAAGAAGACACTATACAAATATATGGATTATATATGGATACAAACATCATAACAACTCCACACACACGCACACAAACCCGAAGCAGACCATTTAAAAAGCTAGTAAGATAAAAATCTCTAACTAAAACCCTGAGTAAAAAAGGTGTGTTTTGGTCTGGCACCTAAAAGAAAGTAAAGTAGGCATCAGGCTAGCCTTAAGGGAGAGGGCCTTCCAGAAGTAAGCTGCCACCACTGAAAATGCCTTATCTAGTCACTACTTACCTTACTTCTGAAGGCAGGGACACAGAGAGCGGGGCTTTATTGATGGCTGGATAGTAAGGGATAAGAGGGTGCTTCAAGTACCCTGGCCCCAAGACATTTAGCACCTTAAAGAAAAGAACCAGCACTCTGTACCTGGAAACAGATAGGTAACCAGTGCAGATCGTTCAGCATAGGAGTAATAATGATCTCTGTAACCGACCACTGACTTTAGTCTGGCTGAAGTGTTTTGGACCAGCAAGTTTCTGGCCTGTTGTCAAAGGCAGCCCCGTACAGATCATGCTTTCTGAGGAATGGCCATAGTTGATGAACCAGCCAGAACTGATAAAAGCTACTGATTTTATTTATTTATTTATTTATTTCCTTTGATTTTTTATCCCACCCTTCCCACCAAGGCGGACTGAGTTTAACAATTTCACTGAGTTTAACAATTCCTCATTTTGCAGAACTTCCACCTCACCCCATACTTCAAACTATACAAGATTGCTTCCATATTGTTTTCTTTCAGCTCAAATGGAGAGTAGAAAGGTCCCAAATTGAATGGGAATTTCAACACAGCATCATCTCCTGAGACCCTTCTCTTGGAGTTGGATCAAAGAAAAACATCAAGCTCAACATCCAGAACTGTGGAGTGGCTATGGAAGCAGCATCCATGAATGTTCTGCCCACAGCCACAATAGGGAAAGGGCAGAGCTAAGCTCTGCTTTCAAGATGACCAAGTGTGAGGCTAAGCACCCTAATTTCCCCTCAAGGGTTAACATGAATATTAGAAGGCCTAATTCAGCTTGTAAGTGTTCATGATTTCAATGTTCCTGCAACTACTATCATTATCTCTTTCAAAGCCAGAGGCAAGAATGTGGTAACTGGGCAAATCATAAGAACCTGTACTCAGTTGTATAACCAAATGGAAGCGGGAATTGAGAACAGTTGCCAACATCCTCTGGAAAGTTCCTGAGAAGAAGAGCCTTGATTGGACCCAAGAGGCCACCTGATGCCAGTGGGCAAGAAGCTATAATAAGGGTATAGGCCAGAGAGAGTTATGTTAACACCATGTTAATATGCTTAGATAAGTTACGATTCACCATGATGGACTGCAATTTATTATTTATTTATTTTATTTTTTGCATTTTTACCCCGCCCTCCCCACGAACGGGCTCAGTGTATAGAACTTTTTAATGCTACTACTTGCATAAGCACTTTTATGCAAATTTGACAAGGCAAAAGGGGTGTGTGAAGGACTTGTGACAGCAGTGAGGAATTTCAGGTGAATTCCATTTCTACTCTCTCCCATGCTGCTTGCTGCAGTGGGAGTGTGTTTTCCCATCGCCTGGTGGAAAAAGCCCAAAAGACACTGAATTGTAGTAACTACAATTTTTAAAACCAGCAGAATTTAAAAAATCTGAACATGCAACCTCAACATTACTCTCATGCTGAAGGATGGGAGGGACAGGTAGGACACTGAA